CTGGGGCACACTGGATGCACAATACCCTGTAGAGATAAGCCCAGACCCTTGCCAGGCACAAACCATTCTTCAATATTTCATTCGCAACCATGACGGACGCGGAGGATAGCTTAGGACCCGGAATGCATTTTCCTTCAGGAATTTTCTCAACAAACACTGCTTTGAAAGTCTGATAGACCTAAGGTCCCTTATCATCTTCAGCTTCAATAAACGGAACAATTGTGTCATTACAAGCTAACAAGTCCTCATCACCATGCACAACTATTTCCTACCTGTCTCATTCGAACTTCACCATTTGGTGCAGAGAAGACGGGATTGCCTTAGCAGCATGTATCCAGGGCCTGCCCAACAACAGATTGTAGGAAACAACCACATCTAACACTTGGAATTCCATGGTGAACTCAACTGGCCCTATCGACAATTCAAGCATTATATCTCCAACAGAATCTTTACCTCCCCCATCAAAGCCTCGAATATACACGCTGTTCAAGTGGATTCTTTTGGTGCCAATCTTCATTTTTTACAGAGTAGACAGGGGACAAATATTTGCACTAGAGCCATTGTCAACCAAAACCCTTGAGACAATAGAATCTTCGTACTTCACCGTGAGATAAAGAGCTCGGTTGTATTATGTACCCTCCACAGGAAGTTCATCATCTGAGAAAGTGATCCTATTTACTTCGAAGATCTTGCTAGCTATCTTTTCCAAGTGGTTCACTGTGATCTTATCAGGAACATGTGCCTCATTCAAAATCTTCATCAAGGCCCTGTGATGTTCATCTGAATGTATCAGCAAAGACAAAAGAGAAATCTGAGCTGGTGTTTTCCTTAACTGCTCCACAATGGAATAATCCTACATTTTCATCTTTTTCAGGAACTCCTCAGCCTCTTCTTCGGTGACCGATTTCTTTACCGGTATTTGGCTATCCTTGAATGGCTTGGCTTTCCTTAATTCTTCTGGGGTAAAACATCTCCCAGAACGAGTCAATCCTTCAGTTTCATTAACTTCTTCCTCTATTTCTTTTCCTTTGTATGTCACTATCACTTGTTTATAATTCCACGAAACAGCCTTGGCATCAACCACTGGCAGCTGGGTTACTGGTTTAATGATAATAGGGGTAATAGGAGCCCCCTTCACAACTATGACAAGCTTACTTGGAATCCCTGGGACTACCACTTTTGAGCTTTCTGGACTTTCCCCAATATCTTTTGACATCCCTTTCACGACCAACACTGGTGGTTTCAAATTGAGCGAGCTCGGCTTTTCTGTCACCCCTTCAACTGTCAAAGGCTTTGCTTTGGTAGAGTCTGGAGCTTTAACCAAATTACTTTCACTAGCCCGGATTATCATGACGGACTTAGAAGACTTCTTGGGCTCCCCATCCTTGTGAACTATTTCAATCATATGCGTCTCTGCATGGGCTGACAAAGGGTTTTGGTTGATGTTTGGCGTGTCTGGGCTTTGGACTACAATTTGGTTTGTATCAGTGAGCTCCTGGATTGCCGTTTTTAAATGCTAGCACTTCTCTATGTCATGCCCTGGAGCGTCAGAACAATAGACACATCTTAGGGAATAATCGAGGTTCTTTGGTGGGGGATTTGGTATCTTTGACTCAATCGACCTCAAGACGTCCAACTGCCTTAACCTTTGAAATAGACTAGCATAAGATTCTCCAAGCGGGATAAAAGTTTGTTTCCGCTGCTGCCTCTCTCTTCTATACTCTGGCCTTGGTCGAAAGTTCGAATCATTGGGGTTTTGATAGGGTTGTGGAGGTGGATAGGTATTTTGTGGAGCTGGGTAGGTATTCTGTGGGATTGGGGTACGCCACTGTGGGTAAGGAGGGGGTTGAGCATATGACTGTGCATGGTGAACAAAGTATTGGGATGGCCTTGCTGAGTATTGGGGGTTTTGCGGGGAGAAGTAATATTGGGGTGGATTATATGGAGCTTGGGCGTAGGTTTGAGGTCGGGGTCGAGGATGGGTGTACTGATACAGTGAACCCCTTTGGCCCTACCATGGTCCAGAGACAACCATGGCGACATCGTCCTTCTTCTTCTTGCCTAGAAAACTTCCGATACCACTCTGGATTGCATGGGTAGTTGCTTTTATAGCAGAATAGCTTATGATCTTGCTCGACTTGAGCCCCTCTTCCACCATTTCTCCCATCTTTACCACATCATTGAAAGACTTACCAATGGTTGAGATCAAGTGGCCATAGTAAGTGGGCTCCAGGGCTTGAAAAAAGTATTTAACCATCTCGTCTTCTTCCATCGGAGGATTGCCTCGTGCAGCTTGCTCCCTCCATCGGAACCCATATTCTATAAAGCTTTCGCTGGGTTTCTTTTCCACCTTGGTCAGATATAGGCGGTTTGGAAATATGTCTATATTGTACTGAAAGTGTCGGGCGAAGGCCTGAGCCATATCGTCCCAGGTGTACTACTTGCTAGCGTCCTGGCGGGTGTACCATTCTAAAGCTGCCCCACTCAGACTCTGGCTGAAGTATGCCATCAGTAATTCGTTTTTTCTCCGGCGCCTCTCATTTTACTGCAATAGCCCCTTAGATGAGCTACGGGATCCCCATGTCCGTCATACAAGTCAAACTTGGGCATCTTGAACCCGACAGGCAGTTGGACATCTGGGAACAAACACAAATCCTTATAGGCCACACTCATTTGATTTCCCAACCCTTGCATATTTCTCAACGATTGCTCCAGACTCTGTACCTTCCTAAACATCTCTTCTTGCTCTGCGTTCTTGGGTGGTTTGTCAGTTTCAACATGAGGCTCAAATTGGGGAGTGTAAGAGTAAGGATCTGGGACTTTAAAGGTGGGCTCCAGTGCATTGTAGTGGGCATCTGTAGCGGGGAATGCGGGCTCACTAGAGGATCAATGGAGGGTAGCTTGTGGAGGGGGTACAAAAATAGGAGCAGATGTCGGAGTAGGGTACGAGGTTGTTTTGGCTGGCGGAGCATGAAAAGTTTGGGTTGAAGTACCGGGGTAGTTGTGGTAAGGGGTAAAGCCAGGTGCATGTTGTGGGGAAAGATCAATGGTATTGGGCATCTGGGATTGAGAGAGTGGTGGAATGGAAATCGGGTTTTCTGTGTAGTTGGTAGGGAACGAGCGTGGAGGGTGTCCCTTAATCCATGCTTGATACATTTCCGCCATCTGATGCTTCAACCTCCGGACCTCCTCTTGCAGTTTCGATTCCGACTCAACAATATCCCTTGGTGGGTCTACAACTCCAGCGTCTGTTTCCTTGCTAGCCATAACTGTTTGACGCTTTGATCGGGTATTGTATGGATGACTTCCCAGGATGCCAACAAACTAACCACCTTCCTGTTATTAAATAAAGATTACAGAGGACAACAACACAACCACCATGTTAGCGTTAGGGCATTTATCAAATAATAATATCAAGTTACATGCAATGCACCTAGCAACAATTAACGGTTCTAAAATGGTTTTGAGGGTCGAAGGGTCATATGGCATCATCCCAATTTGCTCATTTCAATCCTTCCTTCTCTTTCTTTTCCAACACCTCTTATCACTCTTTTCTTTTTCTTTCTCTTTTTATTTTGAACCAAAAATGATTTGATCGAACCCGATGTAGGTTGTCTACGTATCATGTCCCTCATGAATCAGACCGAGCGTAGTTCTGGAAGAGTGATGGAAAATAAACTAAAAATAAAATCTTTTTTGGGATTTTTCATTTAAAAACGTTTCGATATTAAAATACAATGGGAATTACGATAATGAAAAACATGATAGACTCGACTACACTATGACAGACTCTGACACTACCTAAAGGACTCAGTACTCCTAGACAAGACACGAAAGTAAAGGACAACATAAGACAATCTCAAAACGTCTAAATAGAATAACTCCTCAAACTGCTCCTGAATGCGACGGTCCTGGCTGGGATGGTCCTGGGCTGTCCGTTATGCTTAAACTCTGTAACATGCCTCGTAAAGAAACACCGATGCTGGGAATAAAGGCCATTGTGTGTGCCCCCGCATCCTGAAGGCGGACCCTAAACAAATACTGGCCATGCTGCTCCACGTTTGCTGCCAATCCCGCTAACTGAGATTTTATCAACTCAAGCTTATCCCAAGGATCTTAGTCCGATGCCTCCTCAAAATCATCTGTCTGAACTGCCCGACCCCTAAGTTGTGCTGGCAATGGGGTGCTGACCCCCTGGTGGGACGGACTGTAACCAAATCATGTACTCCTGAGTACACTCGGGCTTGCCAACGTCCTCTACTAATGTATTTTTCCTCATCCTCTTTGCATTGTTCCAATATTGTACGTACTTGATTTCGTCAGCTGCTTTTTTGCTAAAATTCATGATGAGCCTCCGAAGATTCAAAGTTGGAGGCTCCTCTTGTCTTCTGCCCAACTGTCGCATTACTCTAACGGGAGTGTACGACCTGACACACTTAAGTCCTATCAGCATCCAGAAAGGCTGCATGAGGCATCCTACCAAGATCTCATCTAAAGGTAGCCAAAGGTAAGCCCACAAAACATTCCCATTTATCCTCAAACCAAGGAACTCAATCCAAGCTGTGACACCTACTGGGTATGTAAACTTAGGAGATTTCATCCTATGCTCGATACATACCACAGATCCCTCAAGGTACAGTCGATGGGACAAAGTAAGGAAGCGGTGTGCAAATGCTCCATCATCCACAATTGTAGCAAAAGGTTACTTCCCTCAAAATACCTGACACCTCCTCTAACCTCACTTAGGGCTCGGTACAACTCCGCTAAGATCATCAACACAACGATAACGGTTTTGCGTTGCTTCTTATGAAATAGTGCCATTACCACTGACTGTATACGGGTGCTAATGTGCCTCTCATCTAATGGAAAAACCAATAATCCCAACAAAGCAAGGTTGAAAGCTTCGAGGCGACGTCTTTGCCACTTTGCCTTGGTTGTGCAGAACTCATCCCAAAAAGACGTCAAAACTATCCTGTGGTCCAAATCTAGAAAACAAATAATCCAAGGATATCCAGGACTGCTCGAGGCATTTTAAATGTTTGTTATCTTTCAGGCCCAGGTCGCTGAGGAATCTTGTCCTAGAATGGTCTCAGGGAAGTATCATGTCCTTGCCTATATAGTTTAAACGAGTGAGACTAGACATTTTTGCCAAGGTAGGGGTCATCTCACACTCTTCAAATCTGAAAATCAAATTTTGTGAATCCCAATAAGTCAGCATCGCCTCCGCTAAGTCTGGGAAAGGTGTGATATCAAGAAGGGAAGTGAGGGTGCCCAATTTCTGCATTAACTCATGCTGCTCTAACAACGAAAACATTTTCCACCACTTGCTTAATTTCCTAGGAATCTTTACTACCATCAGCACTTTGGATCGAATCAGCGGGTCCATACCTGAATGAAGAAAACATGATTAGCGACTAGGGACACTAGGTGACACCACAACCTTTCCTAGTGGACAAATGCAAGACACGATTTGGCTATATTTTGCAAAATGGTCTAAGTGGCTGAAAGTGGCTATTAGTGCAAACTTGACAAAGTTGACCCCTAATGCATGAAAAATAATCCATTTAAAGCTTACATGACTCCAACATCCCAACTATCATGGCCTTAAAAATACTTTGCGGAAATGGCACATTTTGCAAAAATGGCCGATATGGCCAAATGTGGCTAGGGACGCAAACACGACATGGATGGACCTTAAAGTGATATGACACCGAGTTGAAGACTCAAGATCCTAAGACATGGGTAATTGAACCACTTTTGCAAAAATAACCCTATTTTGCAGGAATGACTGATGTGGCCAAAAGTGGCTAGAAACGCAAATTTTAACAGGGTGTGGACCTTAGAATCGAGAGGATACTTTATTGTAGACTCAGGGCTCTAAGACAGGAGATAACAAACTCTTTGAGAAAATACTCCTATTTTTGCAAAAACGACCGATGTGGCCAAATACGGCTATACATGCAAGATTTGGCTACGACCCCGGAAGACAAGAACCTAGGACCTACTAGGAAGACCGAACCTTATGTGAGTCGTCTACGTATCCCGCCCCGGAAGACGAGAATCAGGTTCGCGTAGTTCGGGAAGATGCAACTAATTTGAAAAAAAAAACTATATTTTTTGTCTTTTCGAAAAATGACGAAAAATGTAAAAACTTTCGGATTTTCTTTTTTATTTTTTTGAATTTTTGGAAAATTATGGAAAATGTAAATTTTTTTGGATTTTCTTTTTCTCTTTTTTTTTTTGAATTTTTTGGAAAATAATGGAAAAGTGTAAAATCTTTTTGGATTTTCTTTTTCTTTCGTTTTTTCAAATTTTTGAAAAATAATGGGAGAGTTTAAAATCTTTTTTGGATTTTTCATTTTCAATTTTTTTTGATTTTTGGAAAACTATGAAAGAAAGATGCGAGTGGGCCCTACTTGCTTCATTTTTCACCCTTCTTTTCCAAGCATCCCGTCCCCAAAATGACCTTTTTACTCTCAAAGATGCAACATATATCACATTGGGATGATTGGATGTCTTTTTGGGCCACGGGCCCATTTTGACAAAATTTAGATAGGCTTCCTACAAAGGGACACAGTACCTGGGACCGAGCCCTGCTAGGTCTAAATTACATGATGCAAATAAAAATGACCTAAAGGCTGACCTAAGTATGGGGTTCACTAACAAGGCAATTCGGGGGAGCGTATGGTCGATGGTGGTTGCTCAAGCTTTCCACCCACTCCATACATCCGACGGCCCCCTCCTAAATTAAGGGTGACTCAACAAAGAGTTCGTGCATGCGATGCGTACTCTGAGACTTGTTGCAGAAAGAAGACCCATGGTTATGCAAATAATGACAGTTTATAAAGCAGTAACACATTAGGAAGAGCGATAAACAAATAACTAACAAAACAAGAAATAAAACAAACAAAATAAACAAACAAAGCAAATAAAGAAAATAAACACCTCAACCGAATATCGTAAATACCAACAAGATCAAGTATCAGCTCGAACCTGCAATTCCCCAGCAGAGTCGCCAGAGATGTCACGCCCCTTTTTTACCTCTACTTCACTAAACCCTCTTAGCATAATAAAAAGATTTCGCAAAGCTTGAAAAGGATTTTCAATTAAAAAGTGACAAAATATGTTCAAAAGGAAATAACTCAGAGTCGCCACCTGACTTTGATTTCGGTGTGCCAGGTCACCGTTTTTAAAATGATTTTCCTTTAAAATACTTTGGACTCCAAAACTAAGTCCGCACCAGAGATTTGGGTAAGGGGGTTCATTTGACTCGGGGAGAAGGTGTTAGGCACTCCCCAAGTCCCGTAACTAGTACGGTTGCATACTTGATCTAGTCGGCTTTAAAATATTCAATTGAGGTAAAAACACAAAAATAAAATAAACACACAAGAGGCTAGAGGTCGTCCCCACCTAAGAAAGATGAAATAAATAGAAGAAAATAGTAAAGTTCTATTCTACTCATCCCAATCTCTGGCCTTCATTTACATGTATTTCGGGGCATACCCCGGATAAAATATATACAAATCTTCCGGGGCATTCCCCGGTTAAATTTAACTAAGGGAACGACCTTTCTCCTCGAGACCAACAAAATCCTAAGGCTTGCTTACCCAAATGTTGTCGGCCTAGGCATGCTCCTAGCGAGTAATAAAGCAATAAACAGAAGCAACGGAAAATTTAAGATCTTAATTCTCCTTCCCTACTCCCCAATATTTCATTGTCCAAGACAAATATAGACCAAATAATAGGAAACACCTATCAGCAAACATATAGGACATGTCGAAGAAGATAGGGAAATAATAGCTCGAAGATCAAACGTGAGACTGTTGAGAAGCTCAAGACTCAAGATTAACACCAAAACGCCTTTGAGCGTATGTTATTTAGACACTAAATCAATACTTATCCAATACCAAAACTAGAAAATAGCCACTTAAGATCCCAAGTTAATCAAATATTGCTACCAAGACTAAATCAATACTTTTCAAATTGTTCCAACAGACCACAAAAATAATTTATGTACTCAAAATGTGATACGGAAATTAAATGACACTAATCACATAAGAGTATCTAACAGAATAAGTGAATGAAAAATTTCAACCAACTTTCAACCAAAACCCACCAAACATGTTTGCCAGAAATCCACACTCTACACAACTAATTGAATAAGTAACCGAACTTCTTTATCTCATTTTAATTTCACAAAAAAAGTGTTTACTTACGAGGGAAGCTTTTGTAAGTCTCACTTTCAAATCATTTTACCCACTTAACCTAAAGGGACACTATTTTGACATGAAAAAAAAAGACCGAAGGAAACAACTTAGCTCGAAGAGTTGACTACGTCTACTAAGCTCAAATTTAGCACGGAAGCCATAAATTCCAGATTCAAGCATGTATTAAACTCAACCTAAATAATAAACCAAATTCATCGGAAGAAGATAAAGAAGAGGCAAGCAACCACAGTCACATGACTAACCAACAACAAATTTACAGGCAGAACTATCTACATTATAATAAAGAGGAAATAGCATAATGAACCTGTTGGAGAAGAATCACTTTAACAACGTCGGACAAAACAGCGAGTACACGACCAACTCTAAAAGATAAAATCACCACAGAAATCGAACGTGACTGCGAACTACGAACAGATCTCGGACGGCTGCTTCAACTCCACGGCAAACCTCGATCAAACTCCATAGTTGAATTCCAAATCCGAAATTAAAACTGAGGAAGGCAGAACTATATTGTATTTTTTTTGGTATTTTCCTGATTTCGAAATCTAGAAACAAAATTTGACCAAGAGTCTAGACCGAAACTATTTTTTTTATTTTTTTTTGTTTTTCTGGAATTCAAACCAAACGTAAAAATCTGAAAACTCAAAGGAACCCTAATTTTTCTCCAAGTTTTTTTTTTCCAAATTTTTGTCTCCTCTCGAACCCAAAATCTGAGAAATCATCCCAATATATAGGGGGTCTCGAACCTCCTATGCTTCTTCACCAAGAAATCGATTTTTTATCTCCAAATTAGAAAAAAACTCCAAAATTCCAAAAAACCTGTCGTACAAATGGATTTTAGGCAAATGGACGCCTAGAATCCAAAGATTTCGATCTTACGGCCCCCATTAAACTATCATTCATTGAATGACCCAGATTCTTCAAACAATTGCGAAAAGCATGTGTGATGAGAGAAAAACGCGTAGAATCGGGTTATAATGATGAGGGGGGACCAGGGCTTAAGTGGAATGCCGGAAAATTGACTTTTCCGGCGGGTTTTGGGGTGTTGGTGACGGGCAGAAGCGTGTGAAGAGGGGGGGGCACCGTTTGGGTGTAGTTACATTAGGGTAGGATTTGGGAAATATTAGGTTTTTATGTTATGGTGGGGAGGAAAAGGGGATGTTGGATCAAAGTGAATGGATGGCCAGGATTAGAGGGTAAAATAGGGCAGGTAACGGGTGTAAGCACGTGATTTTTGCCCTATATGAGAATTACTCCCAAAAAATTCAAAATAAAAT